AGACTTTTTATTATAATATTTATCTTTAAGTATATTTTTAAATTTCTTTTCTAGAGTTTAATATTCTTTAAAATCATTAAAATTAATAAAATCTAAACTAAATTATTATAAGAATACTTAATAAGATTTATATCTTAATTTATCTTTAAATTTATAATTATTATTTATTACTTTATCTCTAAGTCTTTTAAAATTAATTAAATTATTATTAAAAAACTTAGTATTTATAGAATCCTTAAGGAAAAATAAATTTATATATAAAGGTATAGAAAATAATTTAATAAAAAAAGTAAAATTAAAAAGATTATTAATTAATAATCTAAAAAGAAAACTAATAGAAAAGAAAATAAAAATCTTAAATAAAATATTAGAAAAAGAGAAGTTTTTAAAAAATAATTTTAAGTTTTTATTTATAGTTTCTATTTTTAATAATAAAAAGATAGTTTTCTCTAACTATTTAAGATATTTAATTCTTCTAAGATTAGATATTTTATAGAAATTACTATTATTTTCTAGGTAATTTTATAGATTTATTTCTATAAGTATTTATTTTATATAAATAAGCTTAAGCTATAGTATAATTAACTTTTTTAATATCTTTAGCTATAATAGTAAAATATTTAGTACTAAAAGGATTAGTCTTTAATAAATTATATATTTCTTTAGATAATTTACTTTTAGTAGTTTTAGATATCTCTTTTTATATATTTATTTTAGGATTAAAGTTTTTCTTAAATTCTTTATAAGAATTATAATTATTATAACCTTTTTCTTATATATTTTAAAAGAATTTATATTTAGCTAAATCTTTATATTTTATATATAAAGATTAAATATTAGACTTACTATCTTAATATTCTATACCTATAGAAACCTTACCTTTAATATATAGAGAAAGCATATAAATTTCTTCTTTAAGTTATTATCCTTTAACTTATATTACTTTAAATAATTCTTATCTTCTAGCTAGTTAATTTATATATAACTCTAATAAATTACTACCTATAGTACTATATATAGTATTATTTATAAAAGGTATACTATCTTAAAAACTATTAGGTTATTAACTTACTTATTTACTAAATTTAAATAAAGGAGTTATAGTATAAGGAGTTATAGTATTACTTATTTAGGGAGTATTAGGATTATTACTTAAAGTATAAAAATTCCTATTTATACTATTATTATAGATACTATTAATATAGAAAAATCTAGTATTATCTTCTTAGTAACTAGTATTTAGAGTTTAATTATAACTATAATATTAAGATATACTATAATTAATATATTCACTAGTAAAACCTTAATTATAATTAGGATTATAGTTAGATAGCAGATAATAAGTTAGATTAAGTATATAACTAAGAGAAGAATATTTAATATTATAAGGATTTTATATAGCTATTTAGTTATAATAACTATTTCTATTAGAATTTCTAATATTAGAATAATAATTATAATTATTACCTATATAAACACTACTACTATTTAAAGTTTTAGGTTTATTTATATATAGTATTAGTATACTTTTACCTTAAACTTTAGAAAATATTTATATAAAAGGCTTTATAAATATATAATCTATAACTATATAAATTATAGAAAATATACTTTAAATAAAACTAGGTATTAGATTAATATTAAAGAATGAAAATAATTTATTAATAAACACTATAAAAGTAGTAAATATAGAATAAAAAGTTATTAAAACTAAAGTTAAATATTCTTTAAATACATTTATATTATAATAATTATTAATAAAGTATCTAGAAATAAAACTAATAAAGAATATAACTATTACTTTACTTATATTAATAGGTATAAGTGTTTTATTTAATAATATTTTTAAAGTTTTAAATATTTTTTTTATAATTTATATATATAATAAAGAAAAAGAGTTAATTTACTTTACTAAATATAATAATTATCTATTATATTTATTTATATAAAAAGGATTAGTCTTTAATAATATATAAACTTCTTTTACTATATTAGTACTTATAGTATTATTTATTTCTTTTTATATATTTATTTTAGAACTTATACTTTCTCTAATTTTAGAGAATTTTAAGTAATTCTCTTCTTTTTCTTAAACATATTAATAAGATATTTAATTAAAAATATTAAAATATTTAATATATAACCCTATAGGATTAGATAATTTATTATAATATCTAATACCTAAATAAATATAACCTATATTATTAGCATAAGCTATAGGTATTTCTTTAAATTTAGGTGGTTATGTAATTTCTTTAAATATTTAACTAGCTATTCTTTTTCTAGTTTTATTATCTAAATTATAGTGTAATATTTCACTAGGTTTACTTAATAAGATTTTACCTTAAATATTATAATAATATAAAGGTAAATCTATATTAAAGTAATTATTATCTATAGACTTATTATTATTTATATAGGTAATATATTTAGTACTATAAAACTTATAATAAAAAAGAAGTAAAGGTTCTAATAAATAATTTATTATAGAACCTATTAATATAGATATATAATTTATATATTCTATAATATATAAATATAAATAGTTATTAATTAAATATCTAAAAAACATACCTATAATAAATATAGTAATAACTCTATTTAAATTATTAATAGTAAGAACTTTATTTAAAAAAAATTTCATTTTTATATAATTAAATTAATAATAAAGAAGTAAGATCTTCTAAATAATAACTTAAAAAGGAATAATTCTTCCTTAAATTAGACTTATAGGAGTTAAACCTATATTTTATAATTAAAATTATATATAATTATCTTTATACTAAAGTCCTTTTTATTATTAGTTAAAATAAATTAATTAGAATTTTATAAAATTAGAACACTATATTTATATATATATTTATTTATGTTTGCTAATTTTATTATTACCCTTATAGAACTTATAGGAATTAAACCTATATTTTAATAATTAAAAGTTATATGTATTTACTATTATACTAAAGTTCCTTAAAAATACTTAAAGTAAGACTTAAACTTATAACTAAAATAACTTTAATATTTTACTTAACTAATTAAGCTTTATAAGCTTATAGAGATATTAGGAGTTAATCCTAAATTAATAATATATAAAATCATAGTTTTACTAATTAAACTATATCCCTTATATAAGAGCTTTATAATACTCTAATAAAATATATTTAAAGAAGGACTTAAACCTTTAAGACTAGAAGTTTATAAAGCTTAAGTTTATTATATTTGCTAATTTTACTATTTAGACTAGGGCTAAAGTGACTTAAATACTTATTTTTACTATTATAAGTAATATGCTTTACTAATTCAGCTATAACCCTTTTTAAATTAAAATATTTTTAATTAATTTTATATAGTATTCGTTATTATTAAATAATATAAGTTTCTTAGCTTTAATTCTTTTTCTTCTAACTATATAAGAACTTATTTCTAATAATTTTATATAACTAGTTATAGAGTTAAAAGTTTTAAAAACTAAGCCTTGTAAATCTCTAAGTTTTACTTTTATATTTTTTTTACTAAAATTATATTTATTAGAAGATTTAATTAAGATTTTACTATCTTTTTATTTTTTATAATTAGATAGTTTATTTAAGATTATCTCTATTCCTAAAGAGGTAAAACTTCTTTTTATTTTAATAGGTTTGCTAGTAAAAAGTCTATTATTATTTATTTTACTTATAATAAAATTTATTAAGTCTTTTCTATCTTTTATATAATATAATCCTAGTTTTTTAATTTTAAATATAATTTTTTATAGCTTTAGCTTTAGCTTGCTACTATTTTTTTATAAATAATCTAGTTCTTTCTTACTATATTAAATCATAGAATTAAAGAAAGGTATTAGTACTTTATCTATAAAATCATTATTTTTAATAGATAAAATATAATTTAATGCTTTTAGTCTAGTTATATTTACATTAGTTATATAAATAAAAGCCTATGTAATTCTTAGATTATTAAATTTAGCTAAATTAATAAAAAATTTCTTTATTACTTCTATTAGTATTAAATTACCTTTTTATATACGCTATGTAGCTTTGCTATGAAAATTATAAAATATTATCTTTTTTAATAATATTAAAACTACTATTACTTTTAATAAACCCTAATAATTAATTAGGTATTATATTAATTTTATAATTATCTAGTAGTTTAAAGGTAGTTCTTTTACTATTTATATTACTTTTAATCTTATTTATTTCTAATATAAGTTCTAGTGTTTTAACTTTAGTATTTATATAAAGTTTAAAAGCTTTTTTAAAATCTAAGAAGATACTTTATTATATTTAAAGGATATTTAGTAAAAAGTTATAAAATAGATTTAATTTCCTTTTAAGAAGTTCTAGAAAAAATTATAGAAGATTTATATATAGTTACTTTACCTATTCCTAAAGTCTTTTTAATAAAATATAGTATAAATATATTATCTATATGTAACTTTATTAAAAATCTAAAAGTAAAAGTACTATTAGTTTTAACTAATAAAAAATAGCCTTTAGTGTTTATAAAGCCTCTTTATTATTTAATAAATTCATTAAAGAAAATAAATTAGTGATTTTCTAAATTTAAATTTTCTATAGTTTTATAGTAATAAGTTAAATATATAAATCTCTTTTTATTAATAAATTATATAGCTATAGTAAATAATATACTACTACTATATCTAGTTTATAGTTATAATATTATTTTATTTATATTTAAAAGTATATATAAATCTCTCTTTAGTTACTAAGAGATTAGGTAGCTATAGTTATAAGGGACTTCCTTATAAACTAAAGTTTTAATCTATAACCTTTTCTTTCTATAGAAAATATATTAGATAAGCCTTTTAATAAATATATAAATTATATATTTTATATAGATAAGTACTATTATAAGTAGTATACTTTACTAATTAAGCTATAACCCTATATATTACTAATAAATCTAAAAAAAACGTGGCTAAAGGACTTATACTAATATCTTTTAGGTATAAACTAAATATATTTTTATTACACTAATTTGCTTAGACTAGATAGGGATTAAACCTATAATAGTAGCATTAAAAGAGCTATATTATAACCACTTAACTACTAATCCTTTTATAGTTCTATAACTATAATTTATAACTTCTATTTATTATAGATTTAATCTTTAAAATTTTATCTAATCCTTCTTAAGTTAAATAATCCTTATTTTATATAAATTTAGCTACTTTAATTTAATTAGTAAAATCCTAAGATTTTACCCCCCTAATATTAGATATTATTTAAAGAAAGGTATAATCTTAGTATAAATATCCTTAAAATTTATATATATATAATATCCTAAATCTTTATTATTATAAGTATAGTAAGTACTGTAATTTAAATAATTTATAATAGATTTAAGAAGATTTTTATTATAAGTATATTATAATATTATAAAAACTAATTAAGCTCTAGATACTACTTAATTAGAAGATTTTCCTATTCTTATTAAGAATAACCCTTCCTTAGGAGTAAATCTAGATAATTAACTATTATATAAAACTTCTTACTTATTAATTAAATAATAAATAGTAGGAATAGTTTCTATAAAACTATCTTTTAACACTTTAGATAAACCTATATTAATACTTACTCTTATATTTATAATCTCTTTAATACCTTTATTTATTAAATACTTACTATCTTTTATTATAATTATTGCTTTCTTTTATAAAATATAATTAGTAAATTTTTATAGCTAGAGGCTATAAATTAAAGTATATTTATCTAAATAAGGTATAATTATATTTAAAAGCTTATTTAGAGAATTAACTCTAAAACTATATGCATTTTTACTATTAGGTACTATCTAACCTATACTATTTAGTTATTTTTAAATAGATTATAATATTTCTAAGTCTTTTTTATATAAATATATTTTAAAGAAGCCTAATACCTTTTAACCTATTTTAAATCTTTAATTTTTAGTTATAAAAATATAAAAATATCCTTTAGTGTTTGTAAACCTAGTTATAAATTAATCTAGGTTAATTTAACTAGATATTATTTTAAAGTTTTATTATAATAATTTTTTTATAGCTTTAGCTTTAGCTTACACTACTATATAAATGTCTATATAAACTATAAGAACCTAGAGTACTTTATAACTCCCTAGTTAATATTAGAATAGTAAGCTTAATAGGTAAATATACTTATACTATTTAATTTTTACCTTTAGTATAGACTTAGTATATAAGTATAGTAACTTAATACTCTTTTTTAAAGGAAGTAAGACTAGGAAGAGGTAACCTTTAAAATAGGATATATCCTATAACCTATTACTATTATATAACTTTTACTAACACTAGATAGGTAATAAGATAATAGTAGTATAGTATTACTACTAGCTAGTAAGGTTCTCTTTACTACTAAATACCTTTAAACCTTATAGGACTAAGCTATTACCTTTAACCTTATATATAGTATTTAATTAAGGGCTATCTAGGAAAGGGCCTAGAGGTTTTTTATTAAGGTACTTATAAGGGAGTAAGTAGTAAATTATTTTATAAGTGCTTATAAGGCACTCTAGTTTAAGGGCTATACCTAGGTCCTAGTGTAAAAGCCTCTTATAATAACCTTAATATAGTAATACTATAATTTACTAGTAATAAGGTACCTAGGCTATAATACTATATTTTAAATCTTATAATAGTAGTTTTACTAGAATAGAATATTATAAGATATTACTAGGTTTATCTATAACTATTATTACTATAGTAATTATAAAAGCTATTAATAACACTAGGGCTTACTAAAGCCTTTACTTATCCCTAACTAGTTTTAGTTATAAATCTTTATTAACTTTATAATAAACTTACTAGTACTATCCCTAGAAAAGCTATAATATTTAATAGTTATTATAAATTAACTCTTTAAATTTATTTAGCTTAAGGCTATAACTTCTATAGGAGCTAAGAAATATATAAAGAGGTTTAAAATAGTCTAGTAGTAGTTTAGGGGGTTTCCTTAATTAATTATTATAAATTATAGTTTAGATTAGTTAGGAAAATTTTAGATAATATTATACTCCTTAGTTAGGATTAATTAGTTACTTTTTATATTATACTACCTATAGACTAATAGTGTGTGGCTAGGATTAAGACCTCTTAAGACCTCTCTTAAGACCTATTATAAGACCTTTAGTCTCTAGACCTTAGCATTATTAGATCTATTAGCATTGCTAAATTAATCGGATCCCTAGTTATATAACTATCTAGCTAGATAAAATCCCTAGATTCTCTCCCCTTTTATAGAAAATTAACTCTCCCCTTTTGTGCGGTTACTATAGTATATGCTCTAGGTTTATTTAATTAATAAGATAACTAGATATTGAAAAGAGACCTTAGCAGCTTAGATCCTCATAATAGATCGAAAATATCGTAGACCTAGATTCTATTATCTAGGTTCTGGCTTTAATATTGTTAAATTCGTTAGTATTATTAGTATTGTTAATATTGTTATTTTTATTACTATTATTATTATTATCTTTTCTGTTGTTTTTAGGTGGTTATTTTTGCCTAATAAAATAGTAATATAAAGTAAGTAAACTAAGAGATATAAGTAATACTATATATTATAGTCTCTTTCTTATAGTTTAACTAGCTAAAATATCTAGTTACTTACTAGCTTATAATTAATAATAGGCTATTTTTTATAATAGAAGTTAGCTTAAATAAGCTACTATATAGCTATAACCTAAAGCTAGTCTAGTTACTACTAGATAAGTTTACTTTTATAATAATACTAAAGAGGTAAGTAATATAGTTTCTTAAGCACCTTTAAAAAGGTACTTATCTAGTATAAGCTATAATAGCCTATATATAATAAAGGTAGTAAAACACTATATTTACTTTATATTAACTAGTAAAATAGTTTTAGGTTAAAAATAAGGTATAGCTTTTACTTAAAAATATTAAAATTAACTACCCCTTATAAAAACTTAATTAGGTAATAGTAAAGTATATAGTTATAAAAGTCCTAATATTACTTATAATATAGCTTAATATTCTAAGAGGTATTTACCTAGTATTTTATATAAACCTTATTAAACACACTATAAAGAACTCTTTCCCTAGTTAAAAGCTCTAGAACTCTTATCTAGGACTAAAATAAGTTCTTATAAAGAGTAATAATAAACTTATAAAGGAATATTAGGTTAAGTAAATCCTAGTAGCTTAGAATACTTTAGGCTAGGGTAAGAGATATAATATACTTATTAAGTAAGTAAGTTATATATAGCTTATATAAGAACTATTAGAGAATATAGTATAAATATAAGCCCTTAATAAGTTTAAGGTAAAATAAGAAAATATATAATATAATAATAAGCTAAATTAATTTTAGAAAACTTATTTACTTATAAAGACTCCTATATATATTTAAGATACTAATATATTATAGTTTATTATTATTACTTAAAGGGAATAATTATTCTTTAAGTCTTTATTTAAATTAATAAAAGAGCTTATATAAGTATATATTACCTTTATTTAAAGTTAGTACTTTACTAATATAGCTATAGTATATTTACTAGGTAATAGTTATAATATAAAAAGTTATTTACCTAGGATATAACCTAGGTTTTAAATAGTATAAGTTAGATTAGTATATAAAGTATAAGTAAGTAAGGGTATAATAAAAGTACTAGTAAGAGAATAGTAAGTAAAAATAATAACCCTAGTAAGATAAGGAATATTATTTTTAGCTAAGGGCTAGCTAGCTTTAGGGTTTTTAAGGGTATATTTAAAAGAAAAACTTATTAACCTTAACTTAAAGAGAAAATAAGTAAGTTACTAGTAATAATAAAAGGGGAGTTATTACCTAACTTAGTAATTTAATAATAATATTAGTTTTTACTATAGTAATAAAGGGTAAGTGCTTAGATAAGGGTAGTAAACTATTTATATATTTCTTTATATATAGTGTTTAAGCTACTAATAATCTATTAGTTTTATTAGAATAAAACACTAGTAACTTATTATATAAACTATACTATTTTATAACTAGCTAAAGGGCTAGTACTAATAAAGGGGATAATATTAAGGCTAGTTATATTTATTATAGGAGTATTTATAGTAAGGGATACCCTAAGAGCTAAGTAAATAAAAGCTAGGTTAAATTATACTTAGTTAAGGAGGGCATTTTAGTAACTAATAAGATAGTAATATCTTTAAGATAAGATAAGTATCTTTTTCTTTATAGTTATAGTTTTAAAGACTTTAGGCTTAATAATATATATACTTATAGTAATTTTAGCCTTAAGATCCTTAAGGGTATATTAAAGTTATAGGTTAGTAAATCTAAGCCTAGTGTGCTATATATAAGTAATATAATACTACTAATAAGGAGAATATAACTCCTTACTTTAGGGTAAATAATAGTTTAAGACACTAGTAATAAGAGCTTATTTAATATAAGGACTATAAGAATATTAAACTAATTTAAGTATAGTATACTATTTATTATTAAAGTTTCCCTTTATAAGGTACTTACTAATAAAATAGAATATTAGTATAGTAAGAGTAGCTATAGGAGTAGCTACTAAAGCTATAGAAGTAAGAGTATTAGTTTAGTATTAAGGTATTTTAGTAAAAGAAATAATTATTTAAGAGAAAAGGACTAATAAAATAAAGAAAAAGGTATAATAAAATTATAATAATAAAGGGATAGTATTATATAAAGGGAAAGGTAAAATAAGTATAAGTATAAGTAAGATATTTATAGTAAAAGTTATACTTATATTAGGTAAACTATAAATAAGTAAGGATAAGGTAATTATTTATAATAAATAACCTATTAGTAAGGCAAATATATTATATACACTATAAAATAACACTTAGAAATAAGGGGAGGTTATTATAATAAATAATAAAGTAATAAGGTAAGTGCTTATTAAATACTTTATAAATAGCTATTAGTAAGAATAGTTTTTATTATAATAACTAAGGGTATATATAATATAAGTATTATATATATTACTAGGGGATATTATAAAGGGGAGTTTATTAGTAATAAGTAAGTAAGGGTATATATAAGGGCTTAGGCTTTACTTAAGTATTATTTATATAGTAA